AAATACCATAGCGCGGCGAAGATCCGGGCGGACAGTTCTCACGATTGGTTCGACACATTGTTGTTGTTAGACGTATTGACAGTCGAGCTCTGGTTCGACGTGTTTTTGCTGGTGGTGGAGCACCCGGCGAGAACGCAGCGCCTTTGCAGCTTTCCGCCCGCAGAGGGTGCAGGGGTGGCGCCGACAGCGGAGAGCGATGTGACAGCTAGGAGAGCGGAGACGGCGATAGACTTGGTGTACATCTTGGATTGTTTGTGATTAGTTGAAGTTATGCGGATTAGATTGGATAGCTTGTGACTGGCATAGAGATTGTCAAAGAAATGGAAGGATGCGAAAGAATTCCGAATAATGTATCAGCAGTGAATGAGAGGACCAGCCTGGGGAATAAAAGGAACGGTTGTACGATGGAGTTGGCTGCCGGCGCCTTTATATACATCTCCTGGGTTGGCCAGTTTGCTGACAAAATCCATATACTCTCATTGGGAAGGAGATCTGTGGTTCCACAAACGAATCGTATTGACACTTGGTACGGTCGCGTGTCGCTGCGGAAAGAGCTTTCGGAGTCTCCGAGGCTTCGCTCTGGGGGACTTGACTGCAGGAGCCTTGAGGGGCAGGCGGGTAGCAGTTCAGCGCATGACATATGACCGAACACAGCACGGCGCCGCACGGCACTAGGGTTTGACCGCGGCATGCTTTGCGTGCTCTCTCTAATCGAGGCTGTGCGCCACTGCGCCCGTTTAAGTACATCCCTCACTGAGATCAATAAAGCCACATGGATGGTTCGTGTGTTTGCGATGTGCTGCATGGATATTAAAATGGCATACCGCACAAACATGGCCGCAAGCTATCAAGCAGAACGCAGAGACTTTACAGGCAATGATATGTAGCCACGGTAGTCGGGCATCAGCCTGATGCGAAGCACGACAGCTGCGTCACAGGTTGCAACGTGCTTGTTATCCCTCCGGATCGTGGGGAATGTAGATGGCAGTCACTGGTGTGGAAGACCTGGGTCACAGCCGTGTTTCCAGAGGCATAATTCAGCAGTTCCAAGGACCGATTGGTACAGTCAAAGAAGTTGTTGAAGATGTTCGCCATTCGAAAGGAATCCAGTGTCCATGAGATCTATGATACAATGATATATGAGACTTCGCTCAGCCGCGTCATCCCGCAAATTAAGCATCTACAAAGAAGCCAAGGCCACGCGCGTGCATCGCAAGGATCTCCTCCGCTTCGCGCTTAGCGAACTCGTCGCAGGTCGAAGTCGCGCACTC